TATATACCAGCATTTAAATGTATAACATCATTTTTTAGCAATATTTAAACTTATGATTTTATTTTAATGTTCAGTAGTATAACCGCATAGAAGTATTGTAATGCTTAACAGTATGAATGTACACTGTAAAATATTCTGGATCAAATTTCGGTATAAAGTATTATTATTTAATTAGTAAACATTTGGGTGCATCATCCACTCCATTTTTATCATAAAATATTATGCCATACTTTTTACAGTAATATTTATTTAATTGCAGTAATTCAGTGACTTTGCGGTAATTATTACTGTAAAAATTACGGTATTTCAGTTTTTTTTGTTTCGGAATATGTTATGGTAGAAATGGATCTTATGGGATTACATTCTTTACATAATGTTTTCTGATTTAATTATTTGAAATTATATTTGATTAAGACAAAAATAAAAAATTTTAAGAGCTTAGTGGTAAACAACAATATTTCATCAACAATATTTCATCATCAATTTTACAACAATTTCATCAATTTCGCAACAATTTGCTACTCTTCCTATGTAAATGTCTTATAGAATTAATTTTTGAAGACAATTTGAGATAAAATAATTTGTCTCCATATAAATACCCATTTGCAACTCTTCTTTTTTAGATTCCTTATAGAATTAATTTTTGAAGACAATTTGAGTTTGAGTTATATTTCACTACACAAATAGCCATTTGCTACTCTCCCTATGTTGGTTCTTCATAGAATAAATTTTTGAAGATAATTTGGGATGAAGACAGTTTGAGATTAAATAATTTTTCATCTTATAAATAACCATTTGCAACTGTTCCTATGTATAGTCCTAATAGAATTGATTTTTGAAGATTATTTGAGATTAAATAATTTTTCACTATATTAATAACCATTTAAAACTCTTCCTATGTGTATTTCTTATGGAATTAATTTCTGAAGAAAATTTGAAAATTTATTTATGAAATTTAATGACTTCTCTATTTACGGTTTATTATGTGTTGCCATTTTCATTTGAACCATGCTAAATATTGAAAGAGCTGTTAGTAACTCTGATATCGACTTAGTCCCTTAAATAGTATTAAAGATTAATAGTCTATTATTTGAGCTGAGGGGTTTTAGAAGCCTTTAGATATAATAAATTGAAAGCGCTTTATAAAATGCAGGTCAAGCTGTTTTCTAAAGTACATTTGATAAAATTAGCCTAATGTAAACGTTAAGTAATTAACTGTGAAAAATATTGTTTATACAATTGTCAGTATCTAGAAACATTATGCTTTAAAATATTATAAATCGAATAGATTCTTTTTTTTAAATAAAACCTAAAACTGCATTTTTTTTTTAGTTCAAGTAAAAGTATAAAAATATTTATGCACTTCCATTATATTTTATATACAAGGCGCATCCAGAAAGTAAGTTTCCCTATTTTTTTTAAAAAAAAAAGAACTCATACTTTCAGGAACATATTTATTGGCAACAAATACAGCAATATTTCAGCTTATTTTTTTAAAATAGCCACCACCAGAATTGAGACACTTGTCGTATCGTGGGATCAACTTTTGTATCCTTCTGTCGTAGAACTCTGCCGCCTGTGAATGGAACCACGTGGTGATACAGTAAACGCTGACCGTTACTGTGAAACACTGCGGAAATTGCGACATGCCATTCAAAACAAGAGGCGTGGAATGTTTAATTCAGGTGTTGTACTCCTCCATGGCAATGCTCATCCACATACGGCTCGACGCACAGCAGCTGTTTTGATGAAATTTGACTCGGAGTTGTTTGATCATCCACCCTACAGCCCTGATCTTGCTCCCAGCGATTTTCCCGTTTTCTTACACCTCAAGAAATTCCTGTCCTCTGGTGAGCATTTTGGCAACGACGAAGAGCTGAAGACGTCTGTCACGCGCTGGTTTCATTCACAGGTGGCAGAGTTCTATGACAGAGGGATACAAAAATTAATCCCACGATACGACAAGTGTCTCAATTCTGGTGGTGGCTATTTTAAAAAAATAAGCTGAAACATAGCTGTTCTTGTTGCCAATAAATATTTTCCTGAAAGTATGAGTTCTTTTTTTTAAAAAAAAATAGGGAAACTTACTTTCTGGATGCGCCTCGTATTTATGAAATAAAATTACATTCACAAGTTTTAGATTATAATATTATGCATTAAAGTATTTGAGACGAAAACACTATCTATGCTCTTAAACCAGGTTACAAGTTAAATTAGTATTTATAACAGTATTCCAATACGCGAAATAATGAGATAAGTCCAGTTATTTAAAATAAAATCGAATGCGTTTTCTCATATTTAATTGCTTTCTCAAAACTTGTTTCCCTAATTTCAAAAATTTTAAGTATAGTCAATCATCCCATAGATACGTTCACGAGTTTTCTGCGTTTATATGGAGAAAATTAAATCCACAGATTAGTTTTATATCATTGTTCGAGCCCCAATTCCGGAGGGTTCGAGAATAAAACAAAACTAAACAAAAAAGTTCTAAATAGCTCGCCAAAGAATGGAAGAGAAAGGCAAAAAGGAGCAAAAATAATAGAACGAATGAAAGAAACACCGATAATAATTTACTTATCGCCTCTCGTAGAAAGTAATAATGAGAAGAGAGAAGAAATAAGACTTCAAAAAAAACAGGGGGAGCGAAACTGCAAAAATCAGGGGGTTTCGTGCATAAACTTCGCCATAGAAGAAGCTCTTAAAAATCATGCCTCATCGTGGGAGAGGCACTTTACAAAGAAGTCCAAGTTTTTATCTGGTCCAACGAATAGAGAATCACTGCATTAGGAAAAATCTCGAAAAGGGAGTGGGGGGGATAAAAAGGGATGTCTGTGACTCGATTCGGGATAAAAATAAAAAGAAAAAGAAAGGAAAAGACTTTTAACTTCTTTATTGTACCAGATCCGGAGCACAAAAAGCGTTAGGTCTGTTTCGTAAAGCATTTTAGCTGTTATCGATTAAGTAATTACACTTTTATTTTTCCAAGATCGTCACCCCCCTATTTTTTTTATTTGTTTGTTTATTTTAATCCTTCTCCTTCCTTGGAGTCCCATCCCCCCTCCGGCTTACTTTTAAGAAAAAGAAAGCTTAACAAATGATGCACCTTTTTAGAAAGTTTTAAGTTTTTTTTCTTCTTGCTGGAGAGGCGTTGGCGATCTTGCTGGCGCCGTTTTTAATGGTAAGCTTGGAGGATTTGTTAGTATGCGTTGGAGAAAAGTTGACTAATTTTTAATGAGCACAAGCGATGAAGATTCTTTTCACTAACTTCAAGACTAGATAGACAAATGTATAAATTTTTACAAAGTTGAGAAGTATCTTCGTTTGAAATTAGAAATAGTTTCACAGTAAATAATGCTATTACCTTTTATAATTATGATCACATTATTTAAAAAATGTACTATAAATTGTTCAAACATAATTTTAATTGCCACAAAAATAACATCTACTCGAGAGGCCGGGATGGCCTAGTTGGTAAGGCACTGGACCCATGTCCAGGAACACGTGGGTTCGATCCACGCCGGCCAAAGACCGTGTAGTAAATTGTGACTGATGCACATTAAATCTGTCGAGTCACAAAGCCTTCCATGTTCCCATAGCAAATCATAACTCTGGGGGTACTGATCCAGGAGTTTCCTTGTCTTCTGGATCAGTTCAAAATTGCAAGACTGTGGAGTTGAACATTAGTAGTTGTAAACCCAAAATTGGGTCGGCTGTTCAAGGACTGTTATAAAAAAAAGAAAAGAAGGAAACATCTACTTGAAATTAAGGAAAACTAACCTCCACAATAAAATTGCTCATTTTTTCACTAAAATTACCTTTAAGTAAACCCAGAAACATTTTTATTTACCCTTTACATTGAAAATATGGGCAATTACTGCAATCTATATCTTAAATTTCCCTTTAAATCTCTATTTTATTCAGTTATTTTCTTTATTTTTTTATTTTTTATTTTATGTTTATCGATTATTTTTAAATTGTGGGAATAAAAATATTGCTGCGTCATCAATTTTGTACGATAGAAAAGTAATCTACTAGAAAAAAGGATTTAATAACTTTTGCTCAAAAAATTGCTCAATTACTAAGGTGGACAATTAATTACTATAATGGATGGGTACAGCAATTTACTAATGAATAAATCAGTACAACATTTAATAATTTTTAAATGACAAAATAAATATTATTAATTGCGTTTTTCAAAAATCACTTTATTAATGTTTTTGAAACATTTAAATTGCAAACATTGAAACATTGACATTGCAAAATGTTCTAAATGGTTTAAAATACTTTAGGTACGGTCGATTTTGTAATAATAATGGTAATAATGGTTTAAGATACTTTAGGTAGGTATATTTTGCTACCATCTATTTACTAGAAAAAAAAAATTTTTACTCCTGAAAAAATATTTTGTAATTTTGTAAATCAATCAATATTTTACTAATAAAAGTATTTTTACAACTGTTTTTTTTCTTCCTTTTTTCAAATTTTTTTTTAAAAGTTATTTTACAATTCCATCAAGATTCTCACCTTAATCTCCCCTTGGTTTTAACCTAGCCAGTACATAGTTCGAGGCACAGAAATTTTTTTTTAAATAACTATTATTGGGAATTCTTTTGCTGTTGTTTATTTTTGCACCACCTACTTGCAAATCTAAAAAAGTACATTTTCAACCGAAATAAAACGTTGTTGAAACAAAACTTTCTGTATTTTGTGATATTATTTCCGTATATTTATGTGATATAGTTTAGTTTAACTTAAACGTGAGAAAGCAGAGTCTGTGTCACATTGATCTTGGAGGTATAAGGACTGTATAATTTTCATTCTTTTGAGTCTCTGCGCATTTTTTGGTATCCATAACAGTTATGGTTATACTTTTAAAATAAATGATGGTTTTGATACAGTTTTTGGTGCTCAAAGTTTATGAAAATACATACATATTTGATTCTTTTTAAAATTAACAATAATAATTATTTTATGAATTAAAAATAAATCTTTTTTTTAGGATTTAATAAGTCAAATGCAGAGTATCCAAGTACTCATTTTGATGTTCAAAGGATAGCGTTGCTGAATAACGGAACTGATGAGGTATTCTAAATTTACCCCATTTTAATGATTTTTGTGACTTGTATGAGCCTTTACAGATTATGTCCCAGGAGTGGTTGCGAAGATGAGATAGGAGTCGCTTAATATTATGATGAGGTCGTGAGTTCGAACTCGGCATCCAACTAAACAACCGACATGTATACACAGTAAAGTATACGTTGCTCAGGGGATAGAGCGTCCGCCTTCCAATTAAGTGAGCCGCATTCGAATCTCAGCAATGCCTGGTTGATTCAAATTCTATACCTGACTCTCACCGACAGCAGTCCTGACATAAAATATCATCAGTGGTAGACGGATCATGGGTTAGAGTCACCTTGCCGTCAGGCAAACCATAGGAGGTTTTTGTGGTTTTCCGCTCCATGTAACGCAAAAGTTAGTTCCATCAAAAAGTCCTCCACGAAGGCAAAATTTAACCCGATACTTTGATTCAAAAGTTCTCTTGTCTTTTGGATTGGATTCAAAATTACAAGGCTAAGGAGTTGAAAATTAGCAGTCGTAAACTCAAAAAATTGGATCGGCTGTGAAACAACGGTTATAAAATAAAATAAAATCTTTGGTGTCTGAAAGCCGTGACGGAATTTTTCTTAAACTTTGAACCGTCATATCAGGTCAATGGTCATGTAAGTAAGTGTTTGCCGCATAAAGTCCTTAGATTAGATTATTCTATCACAAAATACAATTTAGGCGACGCTTTTCAGACGGTGGTCGGATGTGGATAAAACTTGACGTATACGCTTTGTGAATGATTAGAAAATGAAATCTGCATTAAAAACGGGAATTTTCTGTGATTTGGCGCAGTTTTGCAAACTGAAACGTCTACTTGATCAACCTGAAGCAAAATCTTCTTGGTTGTACTACTGTAACAATTATTCTCCGCAAGAAAGAAATTTAATATTGAAGTCAGAACAACATCAATCTGCCAATTGCTCAGCGCCTCTCAAGTCATCGGGACTAACTATAGTTGAAAATGCTTAAAAGCGTTTTGAACATATGCTTGTACAAAAGAAATGCACTGGAGTCTTTGATTTAATAAGGTTTTTGTTTATCTGAATTGTGTTATAGCCTTATGCGTGGTCTTTCTTCACCTGGTAGTTGAAATTTGAACTATTTATTATTGCCTAGTTTCAATGATATCCGTCAATTAATATATTCTCTGTGGAAATCTAAACACTGTAACTGTAACCAATCTGTTTCTTTTCCTTAGCAACATAACATAGGTCAACTTTTTCACATTATAACGCTTGAGGTTAATTTCACTTCCTCAACTTCGAATCGATGTTTTCGTTTGTTTTACCTCATCGTTATGCTGAAAGTTATTAAACATCTTTAGATTACTCTAACAATAATCTTTCAACCAGCCACCTTACCCACCAATACCACACAAGAGATCAAGTAAAAAAAAAAAGAATAAAAAACCCAGATACAATTACAGTTACTGAGCTTCAGTGCGCCATGAAATATGGCGCTAATCCTCTAGCACCTACGACATGACGGATGAAGGGTACGAAGCTCTTTTCATAATTGCTCTGCACAAAAGGACACTCTTTTTTGCTACATACTCACAGCTATTTTTCAAGACATTTTTCTTTTTTCCCCTTCATTCTTTCACCCCTAAGCACCCCCCTCTCAATGCTAAGTGATGTTGCCTTCAACCTTCCCTCGAAGATATAAATCGGTGTTTGAAGGGGCAAATTTGTCAGGGTTATGGATTCGTCAGAAATGTGTTGATGCCCCAAGGAGAGAGAGGGTGGGGTGGACGGGTAGCGATTTGCAGTTGGGGGAGGAATTGATTTTTGAAAAAGACCCGGGGCTCAATTTGTTTAGATGAAACGGAATACATACATTTTGTTCTGTTGCCACCCCCTTTTTTGTTCGAATGTCCCTGTTACGAGTCGACTTGTCTTAAGTGAGTTCTTAATCGATATACATACGACATAATGTCTCGCTTTTATTATTGACTTTGTTGTCAAAGTATGAGAGATGTTTTCCTGTTATCAGGATAAAAGTATCAGTTTAAGTCGGGAGATGTGGGTACTCATGCAAATATTGGAAGTTCGTGATTTGTTTTTTTAATGGTATTTGGGTATACTGTTGGAATTATCAGTTAAAGCTGAATCTCAAGACTTCGGGTCAGTTGCTAATAATGAAATACGCCTCGCAACCCATGGATCTAGTCTGAAATTAACAGAGCTTATCGGATTTCTGTTAATGTGTTATGAAACAGAAGTTTTGATTTGCGAAAATCTGTAGATGGTAACAGGAACAATCAATTTAATCAATATAGTAACAGGAGTAATCAATAATGATGCTCAACCAAAGTTGGCTTATCAGGTGATGCTATCTCAATTTCCGCAGTCTTTGCACTTGAGTCGGCCATTTCTAGCGTTTGTCAAGAACAAGGATGAAGTTTGCCTTTGAAAGCTTAGTTTCTATACCACAAAAGTATGGTCTAAACTATCGAGATGTTTCTGATAGCTGTATGGGAAAACCAAAGAGCTCCGTAATTTTTACTGAAGTGCTTTGGTAATGATTTTGGAAAAATTAACTATAAAATATAATTCTATGATGAGCGATAAAATTCGTAAAATGTGGACAAATTTGGTAGTTTTATCATGATACTTCAGAACATGGCATAAAAACCATTTGTTTATTTAAATATGCTCTTCAGTTTTGTAATTTTTACTAAGAGTGTGGTAATAAAAACCATAATTTTGAAATCCTGAATTTCTTCTAAGCCGTTACCATGTGAACGAAAAAATTACTAAATGAATGGTTTAATTACGGTATATTTTGGTTTTATTAAGCATAATTATGCTGCTTTTTCCACCAGAAATGCCATTACAGTACTGTAATATTACAAGAAACTTTTCTCTGTGAAAGCTAACTTGAAAGGGGCATCATTCCGAGGTAGAAATCCTTCATGGAAAATTCTGTTTTACCTACATTAGTAATTTAAAATTAAAAGTATCGAAAACAAGTGACTTCATGTAAACCTTGAGGAAACCACGAAGTTTTAAATGCAGAATTTTTTTCTTTCAAACATCAGAATGCAAACAAATTATACAAGATTACTCAGAATTACTCAGTTGTTAATAAAACCTACAATTATTCGCTAACATCTTGGTGCTACGAAAGGAATTTTCAAAAATTTTAAATTTCTAATTTTACTCTAGGTTTACATGAACTTAATTTTATCTAAATTCTAAATATTAAATCACCAATGCAAGTAAAACTTAATCTACCATGAAAAATTTCTCTCCTGATATAGCGTACTCTTAGCAATCTAAAGCTGATGAATGGCAGAGTGGAGTGCGTCCAGTTACTCAGACCAGAATAGAACTTGTTTGTAGTTAAACACTCTAACCTCTATAAAGGTAAAAAAATACTGGGGATATTAGCAGTGATATCAAGTTTAATAAAAAAAATGATAAACTAACTAATAATAGGATTGATGGACTAGTTAGTAATAAGATTAATTAATTAAAATAGGTATAAAATTGTTTTATTAAATAAGTATGAGATTGACAAACTAAATTTACAATTTTCGTTTTCTCAGTAAAATTATTCAATATTTTTTTTATAGTGATTTCATTTCTATTTTCAAAAAGCCTCGGTGTTGATAAAAAAAATGCTGAAAAGCAAACTAATGAATTTATCTGCAAAACGAAGAGTTTGTGTTAAAAAAAATATACGCATAAAGTAATGCAATACACACTAATAAAAATATTTGGAGGCAGGCAATCTTATCCAATCGCTGTACTGTGTATGATTCAATCTTATTTGAGACATTCTATTGTGAATTTAAATTTCTGTAGTTCTGAATTTAAAATCACAAATCACTGATGACCCTATATAAACCAATACTGTCCAATCATTGTAATAATTTACCAATCACTACACAATGTATCATTCAATCTTAACCGAGAGATTTTATGATGAATTATGATTGAAATATCAGTAGTTCTAAATTAAAATGCAACTCGTCGACAATCAATGAATGTTAATAAATCTCTTCTAATAATTTTATCAGTATACTGTGTATCAGTAAATCTTATCCATGAAATTCCGTTTTGAATTAGAATTGAAAAATCTGTAGTCCTAAATTGAAAATCCCAATTCTTGGAAAATCAATGCTAGTATATTAATCGATCTTGCCCAATCTCTATATCAATGTACCGATTGATATATATTATATATCATCAAATCGCAACCTAGAGATTCCATTATGAATTGCGATTTCCTAAATAAAAAATCGTAACTCGTTGAAAATCTGTAATAGAATATTTAATCAATGTTAATCAATCGTTGTAGCGATATACTGATAAATATACGTGATGTTCAAAGGATNGTAGAAAAAAAAAAGAATAAAAAACCCAGATACAATTACAGTTACTGAGCTTCAGTGCGCCATGAAATATGGCGCTAATCCTCTAGCACCTACGACATGACGGATGAAGGGTACGAAGCTCTTTTCATAATTGCTCTGCACAAAAGGACACTCTTTTTTGCTACATACTCACAGCTATTTTTCAAGACATTTTTCTTTTTTCCCCTTCATTCTTTCACCCCTAAGCACCCCCCTCTCAATGCTAAGTGATGTTGCCTTCAACCTTCCCTCGAAGATATAAATCGGTGTTTGAAGGGGCAAATTTGTCAGGGTTATGGATTCGTCAGAAATGTGTTGATGCCCCAAGGAGAGAGAGGATGGGGTGGACGGGTAGCGATTTGCAGTTGGGGGAGGAATTGATTTTTGAAAAAGACCCGGGGCTCAATTTGTTTAGATGAAACGGAATACATACATTTTGTTCTGTTGCCACCCCCTTTTTTGTTCGAATGTCCCTGTTACGAGTCGACTTGTCTTAAGTGAGTTCTTAATCGATATACATACGACATAATGTCTCGCTTTTATTATTGACTTTGTTGTCAAAGTATGAGAGATGTTTTCCTGTTATCAGGATAAAAGTTTCAGTTTAAATGTGTTT